TTGAGTTCAAAAACCAGAAATGACCTTGCTGGAAACACCATCCATCCTGGATTAGCAAATATATATAGTAATTAGTGCCCGAATATCATGAACAAAACCTTAATCTTCGGTTTACGGCACTACGTCACATCAAATCATTCTATTTTTGCAAATTTTTGTACTCATCGGACTGCATCAGCGCTTATATGTGGAAATAATTCGAAATTTCCTTTGGTTCGTTGCAGCCAGATACATTACTCTCTATTGTCAAAAGATTCACGCCCTCTCAACTTTCTTAAAACTTCCTTTGGGTTGAAAAATTTTGCACAGTTCTCTACTGAATCGAAGAACAATGTTCCATCAAGTGTGAACGAAAAAAATGGAAATGACTTGGACGAAAGGAAATCTAGTCTCATCAAAAGATTCAAGGATGCCTATGCAATTTACGGGAAAGTTGTCTTGGTGACTCATGGTGTGACGTCATGTTTGTGGTTCGGACTGTTTTATTCACTGGCTTGCACGTAAGATCTTTCTTTTTTCCTTGTTATATATCTAATGATAGGATTATCTCCATCAGCCTGCAAATAGTATAAATTATGTTGAGTCATACAGTTGCTCATCATTTGGTACAATTTTAAGAATTTATGAAGTTTCGTTTCTTTAAAGTAAATTGACTGATATGATTTATCTAGTAGTACGCCTCATCTACATGTCTATCTAAAATATTATAACTTATTAGTACTTAGAATAACAAGTTTGCTCTATTGTAAAAATAACGCACTCCTTTAAAGACTAAGAATGGTGTGGACGCCCAAAGTTTTGTGACATCAGTTGTAGATGTGTAGTTACTCGACTTTTCCTTGTTTCATGTTGACTAATTTTGAATTAATTCCCTTTATGTATCATTTATGGAATTTCGCTCATTGAAGGCAGTAGGTTAGACATGTTGCGTGAGATCAGTTTTCTCACTCAGTGTTCTGGTTTTGTTCGTTAAAGTGAGTTGAGAATTATTGGATAAGTTTCGAAATTAAAACTGATTTTATTCCAGATACAGATAACAATATACAAAGCCTTTGGAAGTATAAAAATTGAGTGGTTCGTAATTATCATCTACTATCAAATTTGTAATATGATGGTAGAAATAATACGTACAAACATAGGAAACTGGTACATTTAATGCTTGGCCATTTGAGAATGACGTCTAATTTTACTTAGATATGAGAAACACATCTTTGACTTGTATTGATCACCAGTCGCTTCAAAAAGATAAATGAACACTCTAAATCTCCATTGAACTACTAAAGGGTTTACTCTATTGGCAAAATTTAGCCTTCTAACTGCTGTAAGCAACAATGCAAAGATGTTCAGGATGCGATTCCCTCCAAATGCGAGATGTGGCTTCGTAATTGTTTTTTGGGATGCCTAGTGTGATAAATCATTTAAGTACTCCAGTTTTGTCTATTTTAATGGTAGTTCAGTTAAAATTGTACACGAAAAGGTGTTTCAGTTGACTCAGGCGGTGTAAGTTTACAACTTAATCCATTTATTTTTCCGTGGTGCAAGCTTTCCATCCCGTTCCCGTTTTTTATCACAGCTCAGATATTTTGTGAGACGGAACCATTAGATCAGTGAGTCAGCTACAGCGTAGGAATAGACACATATATGCCATACCCCATTAGCACATCAAGGCGATCACCGAAATCATAGTAGTTACTTTAATGGTAGTAATGTATAAAAGAAAGAATGTGTATAAGGATATAATACAGAAAGAAAATTATAAAGCAGTTTTGATCTCACGATTTTAGCGAATACAAAGAGTGTATACACCTACCCAATGGTGATCGACATAGCTGAGAATTGATTCCAGTGGCTTAAATGTATACACTCTTTATCTTCCTTTAAACCATGAGATTAAAATTGCGTTATGCCTTTCTTGCCACGAACCATTAGATGCTTTTTGCTAATCGAGATTAAATTCTTAAAAATATGTAGCATTTTTTATTCTGTTGTTATTCCAGACGTCTGTATTTTCACTATCTGTTAGCTTCTAAGAAGCAAACAATAAGACCTTAGAATCCTGTTAAGCAGATTGCGAACTTATATTAGGTCTACATTGATGAATGTAACAACTCAAACTGATGTACGTACGTACGAAGTTCCATGTTGTTACTGACTAACTGTATGTCTCCAAGATAATATGGATGTACAGCTACATATACCAGTTTTGATGTTTTAAGCCTCAGTGTATTTCACGGTATGGGATTGATAGACTGGAAACGGTATTTCAAGTCGTAATCGTGCAAAGTAAAATCTGTAGGTGATAGCATCATTAAGATGTATAAATAAAATGGGCAAAATGTGGAAGGTCATCGACAAACAAAAGAGTATTTGTTTGTCGGGTAGGCATATAGTTAAGAAACACATCTAGTTTTTATGAAAGATGATATTTTGACTCGTGCAAATGACAAATTCGGTTTTTCTCTGAAAGAGGGGCTTACACTGAGTCACGAAACGTTCGAGAATTTATTTTTTTTATTCATTGAAATATTACAAATATATTACTTTTATTTATAAACTTCTTATTGCTTTTAAGAGACGTCTCGAGTGGGAGAACTTAAGGTAGTGATAAGCGCTCTAATCTGTAGGACTCTTTAATGTACATGTTTAACCACCACGTCAACCTACCAGCTGTCAACTGGGTGTCCCCCCCAGGTTCCTTCTTTGTAAAGCAGTGTTGCGAAATTCATGGTAATGTACTTGATCTAACTATAAACTTTTAAAGCTTCGAGTTCCTCGATTTGTATTTTTACATTTATTTTACTTACATCCGTGTTTTTACGCACCTAATATGATGATGCTGATAGTTAGTTATTTAGGTCTTATAAGAGTTGCACGCCATTTAAAAGCTCGAGGCACATTTGTAAAGGCGAAATCACAATAACCCATCCTTCAATATGAATTAGAAAAAGCTGAAAGTCATATTACAGCTTGATCGACAACATCCACTCTGTTAGGTATTAAAGGATAGCCATACCAAACGACCCAAAATTTACTGGATTTGTAAGCCATCTAGAACTGTTTGTCACATATTATAATGCTAGTTTAAGGCCTAAAGATAACGATAACTGAGATGTAAATATCAATGCATCACTTGTTCAAACTCTACTTGACATATTTTAGTTTATGTAACTGGTTGACACCTGTAACATTTACGTAAATACATCCCAAATACAAGTACTAAACCTTTTATTTAATTAGTTGGATTGGTATTACCAATGAAAGATCCTCTTTTTGCACTGCTTTCGATTACAGTGGGATCAATTTGCTGGATATTCTTCACAATCTCAACGCACCTGAATGGCTAAGTAAACCCCTCCATTTAGGTGGGGGTACTGTGAATACTCTGGCTACAGCCATTATATTCTACAAACTGGCAGTACCGTTACGCTACGGTTTGACACTCATATTAACCAGGTATCTAGTACGTTACCTTCGATTGAAAGGAAAAGCACCACAAGTACAAGAAAATGATCGTCTACGAAACCTAGCTAAAGAAGGAGCAGAAATTTCACGTGAACGAATCAAAGCGCGCATGGCTAGAAGCAGAAGAAATGTACTCATGAGGAGGAATCAACGATGATTTGTACAACGACCTTGTAAAAAAGTACCTTTTGCCATTGTACATTCGCTTTCATTTTATACTTATCAATAAAAGTAGTAGTTCCATGAAAAACACTAAGATAAAGTTTAAAAAAGCATAGAAAACAAAATAAATTTGAAGACATTGATTTCCAGTAGCAATCCAAACGACAAATTGTGTGGTTTCGTGATTGTTTACAAATTTCTACCACTTTCAAACATACATATAAGCTTTTGTAAATTTAGCTTAATTTATGGAAATTAATTTGTTTTTTTAACAAGTACTAACTATTTCTTAGTATAGAGATTATTTATGATCTTGATTTGCATTAGCCATAAGAAAGCGCCAAGTGAATCTTCGTTTATTTGACAGCCGCCCCCAAATGCCCTGGTACGGCCGAGAGTGGGGAGAGTCCGCTCTCCCTCTCGAAATGCTCTCACATAGCCACGCGTACATAGCCCCTGCCAGGGAAGTCCTACTCACTGCCTTCACGTGGCGGGGGTGTTGTTTACGAAAATGAGAGGATGAAAAGCGAATGTCCGGCGCTTTAACCGGATTCCAAACCAATGGTGCACATGGGCTCCAGTATCCTGAAGGAACAAATGGCGTATGAACCAATCGTTGGTCACTGGCTACCATGGGACTGCATCTCCTCACGATGCTCCACTGCCTTGTGGATCAGACCTTCAGGTCAAAGGCTCAGGGTGTGGCCCCCTAAGAAAACCACCTGCTTCGATTTGGGCACCCGAGCAGTATCACAGCCCTCACACAAATCAATCGAGATTCGTGTGGCGCATATGTACTTGGTGCCTCCTTGTACCAATACCTATGTGTTAAATAAAATAAAATAAAAAAATATTTGACAGCCACGTTTAGATTTTTTATACTGTTCACAAGGAAAGATGTGCCTCTGTTGTAATAATTTGTTTTAACGGGATATGTCACATCTTAAATCAGTTTTACTTTGATAGAGTGTGGATTTTGAAAGATAAATAGGTTGACACAATCAGAACTTCAGCAATACATATTACTGAAAGTTGTAAAACATACCAGATTACTTATTTCTTTTTATCGTATTTCATATTTTCACAAGATATCAACCAGATGAGAATCTGGAGACTTTGCTTTAGGATGCATTCTAAGCGTGAGAAATAGTGTTACTAGTCAGTTGTTTAACCTGGAATAGCTGGAGCGAGGTTCGAACATGCAACTTAGTGGCTAAAGTTCGGATGCCTGAGCTACTGAGACGCCACTCCACCTGCATGTATATAGAGTCATGAGCTACTGTACGTTTATTTAGTAATAATTTCTAAGTATTTGATAGTGATTGATGTATACAAAGGATTGAATGACACTAATAATCTTGGTATTATGTAAAAATTTATTGAACATCAGAAGTCTTTGATAAAACTGCAAATATTTTCTTGGCACGTTTTTTAGCAGTAGAATATTCTGAAAAGAAAAAAAACAATAGAGTCAGGTTAGTAAACAACCTATTTAGTCGAATATTACATTTAGCATTTGTGGAAATGTGAAAGTATGGAGTTAAATTATTCTTGGTATCTTATTATGTAGCTTTAATTCATTAAACTCAGTCAGCTACAACGAAGGACCAGGCACATATATGCATCGGTCCAAGTTGCCATACTGCACTAGCACAGCAAGAGGAACATCGGATTCATAGGAGTGGTTAAGTTAATGGTGGTAATATATAAAAGAAAGATTGCATATAATGACATAGTACAGGAAGAAAGATTTAGTACGTAGAATGAAAGATATGAAGCGATTTTAATCTCTTAGTTTAAGAGAAGACAGAGTGTATACACCTACGCCATTGTGATCGATTCTGAGCCATATCACTCAGAGTCTCCAACCATTGGTTATGATAGTCATGCGGACACCAACCAAGTAGTATGAATCTGCCGACGTGGGTCAGACCCGAGGTTAGAGACTCGGTGGATTGGTGCCATGTTTTGGTTTGGCCTCCTTTAACTTTCTTCCAACAATCCCTAACACCGGTTAGCATTGTACGTCGTGGTAATCTGTGTTCAGGCATATGTAATACGTGGCCCAACCATCTCAGTCGATGAAGATTCATAACCTCATCAACTGATTTACCATAATTCCCTAATACCGTGCATCTAACCTTACTATTACTTACCTGGTGATCCCAGCAGATGCGAGCAATATTTCTAAGACATCTGTGGTCAAATACTAGGTGAAATTGATCTCATAGCATACTAAAAGAATCTATGACCAAGTATCAGTAGTACTTCCAAAAAGTGAGTTTCAAAGCCCAATATATTAGGCCGTACTTGGTAAGAATTCACATTACACTTACTGAGTCTTCAATAAGGAATATGAATGGCATAGAATGGTCTTCATGATGTAGAAACATGTGGACGATTACTCAAGTTACAAACCGCTTGTCTGCCTTCAGCGTAGAACTGTGCGTTATGCAGGTTATATTTGCACCTTACAGACGGTTTTCAAATAATCATTTATTCTGAATATAAGAGCAAAGATATATAAACGAATTGAAGAAAACCATTAGTATTTAGTCAGCTATCTCACAGCTGCACTGCCTTTTGTCATCCTGGTTAGTGTTCACACTTCAAGAATTGGGTTTCATAACTTAAAATTCGAATGAAAAAAGCATGATACTAAACTAATGGACCACCATCGTTATGTATGAATAACTCATGAAAGATGTAGAAACCAACACTAATGTGCATCGACCCAAGATTTCTCACCATATGTATGCATAATATATTATATAATCTTTGGATTTGTTGTCGACGAAACATACCTGACTTCTGCTGACTAAGAATATTATCCGGTGACATATCTCCTCTGCTTACAAGTTCCGTACATGTCTCCAACCCATCAGTTTGTTCCTCGATTATCTTTGAGCACTGATTTAATAAATTTTGTCGAGCACATCCAACTAGTCCTTTAATATAATGTTTAAATATTCGGAATTCTGAACTAGGAACCTGTTTAATTTGATAGGAAATAAGAGAATAGAAAATTTATCAGCAAAATGGAAAGTTGAAATCATGAGACAATTGAAGCTAGACCACCATGGAAAACCTGGAAGCGCTGGACGGCCGTTTCGTCCTATTATGGGACTCCTCAGCAGTGCGCATCCACTATCTCGCCCCCGCGGGACTCGAACAAACAAGATGACTTAACAACCGGCTAATACCGTAAAGTGATTTTAACATGATTGATGTGTCATATTTTCCGGAATTTATTATTTAGATTTAAGTTTACTTTGAAGTTCCTAGAAATGACTAACACTTGAATCGTTCAATATTTTTCTCCGCTTTGCTATTAAATATGTATGTATATGTAATGCAGCATTAAATTTAGATTAAAGAACTGGAGGAAAACCTACTACTGATCACAATTACCATACTGATATAGAGATGAACAAAATAACAGCAAGGTAATCAGTAGACTATATTACCAACCTGCATACAACTACAATATTTTATGAATTTATGACCAACAGAAACATTTCAAATACACCTTTGGTCACTGAAGGTCTCACGCGAAGAAAAATGAAGCTAATTCTCTGACCTAAAAGCTACGAACTTAAACTCACAATCTGAGATGTATTTCATAGATAACTGAAACATAGATATACCTAAGAAAAAAAAGGGGGGGTATTTTTGGCTTGCCATTTATCGCCTACCACACACATACACAACTTAAGCATAAATCAACTCACCATTTTTTTATTTAATACATTTTTTATTAACCAAGATTGTAGAAGTTTTTTAAATTTCCAGTTTTCATAATCTTCATGCCATATTCTTAAATAGTTTAATGCCTCTTCTTGTATTTCATTAGATGTTTTTATTTTTTGTTCATTTGTTGCTTGTTTACTTGAATGTTTCTTTTTTAATTGACGCTTTTTATATTTTTTTAATTTAGAAATATTTTTATTCTTTCGTTTTTGTTTTAAATCTTCTAGATTTTCTGATTTAAGAGATTCTTTAAGGATTGGTTTGATAGGCTTGTGTAACTTTATATCTGTCTACAAATAATGGAATTTTGTTAAGAATATTAATCCGACATAATAGTTTAAGTTTAAGTAATCAATTATGTTACATTCAAATTCTGTTTGGAATATAAAAAAAAAACATATTTCTTGTTATCATATGAGCCCAAATATTCCCTTTTTGTGATCTGCAGGAGCCAAATCGAAACTAAGCAAATTCATTCGATAAATCAATGTGGTACCTTGAGTATTCTCGTTGCAAATGTAATCTAGACCAAAGGTTATGTTGAGATCAGCTACAAATGAAGTACATATTCACAGAACTGTTCAGAATCGGACCCATTCTTACGATTCAGGATACTCACTTTCGTTTTTTTAAAGGTTGAAGAATCCTTTAATCCACACAGTGTAGTCAATAGTTTTCAAGCCCAACCGAAATTGAAATTAACTGTTGCCTGACTCACTGAAAACCGTGAATGATTTGTGCCAGTTAAAACGCGCAATAAAATGCCGAATAAATTCGTTAGTACCTTAAAAAAACGCTTGGATTACAAGTAATGGTGTTTCAGCAACATTACGACCTGTCGATAAATTTGGACAGACTGCTAAGGCAAAAAATTGATCCAAGCAGCATATCCATCTGGAAGTATTGTTATCTATCCCAGCTTTTAAGAGGAAGAATCAAGGAGTTATCAAAATAGTGGGTGAGTGAGATCGTATCTATAAACAATTTATCAGTAGCCTTTTAAAGCTCAAAACTACTGAAACTCAAGTAAACCGTATATTCATTAACGATTGTTTCTAAAATTATGACACTATATTATAAGAGAGTAGTGAAAAAAGCTAATTTGTGAGGAACACAAAGTTTTATTCATGCGTCCGTTGAATTCTTCAACCAAGAGATATGATACCATTACGAATGGTTATCGCCTGCAAATGTCTAAGACTATTTGGACATGAATACAATAGTTAAGGTGTAGAACCTTGGAAACCTCTTCCAAAACACCCCACTGGATCGATAACAGTGGCTAATGAGGTTTACTAACTTTGTCATATTTTAAAATGATTGTAACAATTTTACTCCACGTTATATATTTACAGTACTACACCTCAAGGCATGAAACATACGGCAACGAATGGTTTACATAATTTCTAGAATTCGAAAAGTCCGGAATGTGAAATAACAAAGCAACTAGTCCCTTTTATAAATTTCGATAGAACAATGAGAAGACGGAGTTGATCTGAAAATTACGATGTATTTGCGCTATAGTCATTCTATGGCCTAGTATAACAAGTCAATTTCTTATTCTTTCTATACAATGTAAAATTGTTTCTCTCCCCTTTGTTACTTGAACTTTCATTTCATTGACCTTTATTAATTTTCATATAAAATGCCCTAACAAGTGTACGCGTGACCAGATTGTTCGAAATGTATAGTGCAAATACATCACATTTTTCAGATGAAATCTGTCTTCTCATTGTTCTATCCAAATATTCGTCGTATAAGAATTTAAGTTAATCCGTTATAACAACGATAAACAGATAGCCTTATTCAGTAAACAAAAACTTCAAACCAATTTTGTTTATACACGTGAAAACTATATGCTAGGTAAGGCTTGGTTGAATATCTGTATTTGGTGTCACGTACATTCCATTCTCTCATATGATAGATAAGCCAAATGCGGTAAGGTGGATGGTTTGTAAGTGACACAATGATACTATAATGTATACGTTGAAGACCTAAACACAATACCCAGATAGTTCTTAGAAGCTTGATACTAAGGTCAATAACCAGCCAATAATTATATTGATGAAATAAATCCAATTTGTCAACCAACCAGAAACATCATCAATAAATGAAACCAAAAATTAGGTCAAGGGACGAGACCTTCAAAATAGATATGATGGGACGTGCCGACAACCAACAAAATTTATTGCTGAAAAGCAAGCTGACAGCTATGAACAGAGTTGTTCTTTTTAATACATTTTAATGGATGACGACTAAAACCTAACTCCATACTTTAATCAAATTTACCTTTCTTGCATATAACCATTCTGAATAATCGTCCAGAATTTTTGTAGGTAATTATTTTATGGGTTTTAATCTCTTCGGAATAAGTCATTATATATTAATCATATGGCAAAAGGTTTATGTGATAAATCAACTAGTTTCAGTTTATTGCTTTCTTGTTCATTTATTGGGAATAGTGTGAAAACATTCCTAGTTATTAGGTTTGTGGATTTGGAATGTCGACAGTATTTTATCAATACACTTTATTTGTTGGACGGCATTCTACTCATTCCACTAAACAAACCTACATTTGTTTACCGAACTCGAAAAAACTCCCGACAACTGAAACACTTTGTAACTCATGGTATAACCTACGTTACGACAAACGACTAGACACACTTGAATCTTATCTCTAGATATCAGGAAATACTCCATTGTCTTGATTCATGATATTTACTCAGCAAAGTTCTGTTCGACAACCACTAACGTGCTGTTGTGGTATGTAGTTATATCAGTTATTCTATTTCCCAATCTGATATGCTAAAAATTTTTATGATGGTTAGGATATTGGTCGTTGCAATAAATAGTAATGCTGGGAAGGATATTAATCAACAGTTATCCGAGTGTTTCTTCAAATATACTGGTTGACAAATCCTTGGTAGATGAACATGTTTAGAATTTTACCTTCTTCAGACACCATCAAATGGTTCTGAATAAATCGATCAGAGTAGAAAAAAGAGATCCAAATATAAAACTGAAATTTTGTGACTGAATCCTTAGGTGAATATTGATCCAACCAAATATTTTACTATACTTCTGAGAAGTGAAAGTGCTCAATAAAGCTATAATACTGTGAAATATCGATTCACCATTAGTTTAATGTTTTACTTTACTAAATGAGGTACGAACTGCATGACTATATAGAAGCATTTTACATCGACATATTACAAAATGATAAGCTTACACTGAATACATGAATGAGTATCACACATAGAGAATAGTACTAAGCAAGTGTTATGACAATTAATGTGGTAGGAGTAAATTCACTGACAATTAAATGAATAACAAAAAGGGTAGCAATCAAAAAGGAAGCGAAAAAAAAGTCAACAATCCCTGTCTATAAAGGTTTATTTATTATCACGTTTTTTTATACAAAAAAAGCTTTTAAACAGTTGAATAATGAAACGCTAATTACAAATAGACTGTAGCTAAAAAAAATAATAATAACGACAAAGTGTGATCCGAAAACTACCTAAACAGTTACAATAAGTGTATATGTGACAAAATATCAGGTAAGTAGGGTGGATGTTTAACACACAATCTTTAGATAATTCAACTTTACACATTTCTAAAAGTGTTTCAAAGACTAGATTCTAAAGAGTTGTTCGATAGAATTCGACGTTGAACAACGAATATCAATCTATATATGAAATAGAGGAAACAATGCAAACTTAGTACCATTTTTCCAAAGAAAAACTGACAAGGACAATTAGCCACCTACCACGAGAAGCTAAGGGTAAAGGATACAGTAGACATTTTATGATTTAACAATTTTCTAAATATGATTAAAAATATAACAACACGAAACAGCCCATCTTCAAATAAAAATTCTAGTGAAATATATTAGACTACTATAATAGGTTCACCTTGCTGCCACAGTACAACAAAACATTTACAACTCATCTTGAGAATATACACAGTTAAAGCTTTCTATAAAACAACCAATACTATCTGAAATGCTTTATTTAAGGAAAATACACCGTAAACATTCACACAAAACTGTATCTACTGATTAGGTTGTTTTGATCGAGATCGGTTTAATATTGAACAACCTTCTCAAGAAACTTATGCCATGGAACACCCGACCTACACAAAAGGCTCTCTTGATAATTTTGTAGAGCTGAAAAATCTACAAATTAAATCAACATTAGTAGTACATGCTGTTTCCAATAACCACCAAAACGACATTAAAAATATCACAATAATTCAGAAAAGTATCTCCAATTAAAGATGTGTGTACCCAGAGTGTTGCATACAATACTAAATCCCCCTCCCCTCAATAGAAAAGGTCTGATATTCGTCGGACTGTTTATCTACATTTGAATCACCATTTCTCACACAACACACACACAATCCTTCATACTACAAATTTTTCATACCAACCGTACATGTACAAATGCAGACAGTAATATCTCATATCATGTTGACTGAAAAATTACTATGATGGGATCTATGTTGATTTCGATTGAATTTATAATGTCTACCCTGTTCCTTTTTTTATGATTTAAACTTGTGTAAATTTGGATGGATTATTTATTCATTTACTCTGAAGAAGTGGGTTACAGTACGTCACGAAAAGTCAAAGATTTAAACATCCAATTACTGATATATAACAATGTATTACGATTATGTTAGCAACGCTCTACCCAATGTTCAATTTATTTGAAATTATGAGGTCCAACTCTGGCAGCGATACTCAAAAACTTACATTATCCTACGCACGTGCATCGTATATTGACTCTGGAACGTTCACAACTATACCATCCATGTCCTCATTGACTTTGACCTGACAACCTAATCGTGATCTGAAAAAAAAACCAAATATTTAAGAAGTTAGCAAGTGATTTATTTATTTATTTTAACACACAGATATCGGTACAAGAAAGCACCAATTACATATGCGCCACACAGATCTCATTGGATATGTGTGAGGGCTGTGATACTGCCCGGGTGCCCAAAACAGAAGCAGGTGGTTTTCTTAGGGGGCCACACCCCGAGTCTTTGACCTGACTGTCTGACCCACAAGGCAGTGGAGCATCGTGAGGAGATGCAGTCCCATGGTAGCCGGTGACCAACGATTGGTTCATACGCCATTTGTTCCCGCAGGATACTGGAGCCCATGTGCACCATTGATTTGGGATCCGGTTATAGCGCCGGACATTCGCTTTTCGTCCTCTCATTTTTGTAAACAACACCCCCGCCACGAGAAGGCAGTGAGTAGGACTTCCCTGGCAGGGGCTGTATACGCGTGGACATGTGAGAGCATTTCGAGGAGAGCGGTCTCTCCCCATTCTCGGCCGTACCAGAGCATTTGAGGGCTTTAAAAGTGCCAACAGCACGAGGCCTCGCCGAGACATGACACTCGACAAATTTAGCAAAGTTCGAATTCATGACACTGTATTTGAGTGCCCACATGTTTCACAGTTTTTCAATCACTCTCCAAAGTAAGTAATCATAACCTACATTTCATTTTTTCATCAAAATTCTTAATTTTCAACCCACATTTAAAAATTAATACAGTCTAGCAACTGGATGGCTGATAATACACAAGTAAGTTGAACTGATATTTAAACTATTCTGCCAGACAATATTTGTAGTACAATCAGTCCGTCAAAACGTAGGGCTAGGCACATATATGCATCAGTCCAAGTTGCCATACTGCACTAGCACAGCAAGAGGAACATCGGATTCATAGGAGTGGTTAAGTTAATGGTAGTAATATATAAAAGAAAGATTGCATATAATGACATAGTACAGGAAGAAAGATTTAGTACGTAGAATGAAAGATATGAAGCGATTTTAATCTCTTAGTTTAAGTGAAGACAGAGTGTATACACCTACGCCATTGTGATCGATTCTGAGCCATGTCACTCAGAGCCTCCAACCATTGGTTATGATAGTCATGCGGACACCAACCAAGTAGTATGAATCTGCCGACATGGCTCAGACCCGAGGTTAGAGACTCTGTGGACTGGTGCCATGTTTTGGTTTGGCCTCCTTTAACTTTCTTCCATCAATCCCTAACACCGTTAGCATTGTACGTCGTGGTAGTCGGTGTTCAGGCATACGCAACACATGACCAAACTATCTCAGTCGATGAATGTTCTCAACCTTATAAACTGATTTACCATCAATTCCTAATACCGTGCATCTAACCTTACTATTACTTACCTGGTGATCCCAGTAGAAGCAAGTAATATTTTAAGACATCTGTGATCAAATATTAGTAGCATATTTATTTATTTAAACACAAATATTGGTACAAGGAAGCACCAGATACCTATGCGCCACACAAATCTCATTTGATTTGTGTGGGGGCTGAGATGTTGCTCGGGTGCCCAAACTGAAGCATGCATTAGTAGCATACGAGTATCTTCTACCCTCAATGGCTACGTTTCGCAGCCATAAATACAGAACGAATTGTTGCGCAGTATACTTATCCCACAACTGATAAAGGTATATCTCGCCTTAGCCATAGGTGACATAAGTTGGTAGACGCCGAACGGGGTTTTTCAATTCGTGTAAAGATTTCGTCCGACACCAACACATCAAGGTTGTTCAGACTTCCAAAATAAGTGTCGTCGACGCGTTCGACCACCTCACCCACTATCCTTAGTTCAGGTGTTGACACAGGTCAGTTGTGAGGTAACAACTTACATTTAGAAGGGGAGAAACACATTCCAAACATCCTAGCATTATTTCTGTGTTACCAAACAAGACTACATCTGTGTATTCAAAGTCGATAAGTGGATGGCTCGGTAGATGGTCAATACCCAAAAATTCAGTCGACGAGAACGCAATTCCAAGCAGTAGGTCTATGAAGAAGCTAAAGAGAGATGGATATAGTGGACAGCCTTTCCGGACACCACTAGAGGTTACAAAATCAGATGACATTTCGCTATAATATTTGACTTGACTGGTAGTGTTCGAGAAAAGAGCCATCACAGCACAATAGTACATCCAAATAGAAACTTTTCCCTAAACAGGACCAACAGATCAAACAGACGCTGTGATTTAAACTTATTGTTTCTAAAAAATCCGTAATATTCGAACGCAGTATTAAGCTTGACATAAACTGACATGTCCCACGAAGCTAATTAGGAATAATGTCACTATGCAGGAACACTAATCTAATACCGAAAAATTGTACTGAGATAACTTGAAATTGTATACTCAATATTCTTTTCGGATATATATTAAGTTAACATCGGCAAAACTATAATTTATAGACGAACCAATCAGATATACACAGGTCTTGGATGTTGGCGCAAAATTCATTCATCCATTTGACTAAACGGTGTTTTAGCATTATAGCTGATGTAAGTTTGTGATGAAGACCCTAAATCTAATTCCTACCACTAACCATCAACTGTAGATTCTAATTATATTTCCTCACACTGGTTTATATCTCTCTCTTAGTCCTGGTTATTAGGTGGACATCCTTAAGGTCACTTTAGCGTTGCCCAAAGGTCGCTCATATATTAGTCTCACATCAACATTTGATTATCATGAGCATATTTTGGGTAAGGCAAAAAATTATATTTATGAACCTTGCAATTCTACTTGTGCCATAACAATGGGAAACCTACGTGTCGGTCAAGCCATAGGCTAAATCCAGCATATCCTGTTCTTCTTCCGTTAATGGATCACGTAAATTATCAAAATCTTCCTTGGCAAAGATGAGGTGGCAGGTTGAGCATGCTAGTGTACCTTCACAAGCGCCTAGATGCGTGATTATATATGCGAAGCAACATACCGAACCCGTCAATATCAACGTCATTATCTAACACAACGTCCAATAAATTGTCGCCAATTTTCGCGTATACGGTCTTATTACGTCCGTTCTTCCAAGCGAATGTGATATTCACGCTTTATCTTAATCACAATGCGAATGAAAAAACTAAGTACCATTTCTTTGGCTGACCACTAACGGACCGTGATAATAACATAACGGACCCAGTCCTAAACGAACATCGTGCTAATCGTAGTAACGACAACATTGTAATGCCCGGGACAAGAGTCTCACTATTGAAACAGAAACCAATTTGTGTATCTTATATCTTGTGCATCTTGTATCCCTTATTATTCTATACATCGAGTTCGAATCAACTCTTAGCCTGCGTAAGGACAGAGTGAAGAGGTCTAGCTTTTGAACCCGCTCTGTTTTCGTTAAACTCGGAGTTCTGGAATAACACGGGTGGCAATATTCCGCACTTTTCCAAGATGTCTGAGTCACCGCTCAGACAGGATCTTGGAGTTTGGAAGCAGTTTTCAAGTTTGGACCTCATTAAGATCGTGTCAACTCTAGTAAACATATTAGAATCTAACTTGGTAAGTGTCCTTCTTAAAGCCTATATGGTTATAAAACCTTTGGTTTTGACCTCCAAGCAGTGGACTGTTGTCTTAAGATAATGCCTGATTATTACCTCAAGCTTTTTGCAAGGCCAAACCGCGGGCACAAACTCTCCCACTATGCTGTGTTTATCTACATATATCTTCAAAATGAATGTAAACCGAGTTAATCGCGCTAATAGCATCAGCCATTTTGTAGACGCGCTAGCCGGAATATTTAAATCCACCTTAAGCGCACATGCATCTGCATCTCTTGTTATTTCTCGCCAGATTTTAACACCACCAGTGTATAGTTGCATGGAAGTCAGTTATATTTAAAAGTTCATTTACATACAGAAAAATGGCGAAGAACCTAGAACAGAGCCTTGTGGTCCTCCATTAAGTACAAGTTTTCAGAGAGAGCATTTGAAATATATTCCTTCCTTCCGTCTGCAGTCTACCAAGAAATTTCTAGTCCACTTTACGAGACGCCTGGCAACTTCTAGATTTTACAACTATAAGAACAATCTTTTTCTCAGTACCTTATCAAATAATTTGCCGAAGTCAACTTAGACAACATCGACCAATTTTCCACTAACTAGAAATCATGTCCACTTCGCTATTGTTATATGGGGCTTGTTGTGCGGATTACTCCTTCCTTGAAGCCATATTGTTCTCTATCTCACAAGTCGATCGTTTCGACGAATGTGATTATGACATTCTTGATTATTCCTTCCAGTATTTTAAGTTCAACGCTAAAGAGCTGACAAGTCCACAGTTTGATGGAAGTTTTCTTGCTTCTGTCTAATGTATTGGAGTGATGATCGCATTTTCGTAGCTCTTAGGTAACTCACTTTGATCAACTGACATATTAAATATCGTGGTCAGAGGCTCAGCAGTATATTGTGAAATTAATCTCAGGTCTTTAGACTGTGGTTCATAAGGCCCTGTTTATTTTTCGGAGTCCAAAGCGGTAAAAGACTTTGCAAATTCGTCTCTATCAAGGCCGCAGTGAGCAGTCGGTTTGTAGTTGGGTCTAGTTCTTTGTTAAAAAGAGGATTCTGAGTGAAAACTGTCCCGAAATAGTTTCTATGGGGTCTTCTCTGTCTTGATCTTCTTCTGTCACTTGAGATACACGCTTTTCAGTATTTGTGTTGGGAATCTATTAATGCCTGTTGTTTTGTAATTTGTATACAATAACAGTCTCTTCGGCCGTTTGAATATATATTGGAGTAACCGCTTTTCAGATTTTGGCTGAGCTGCCCGTGATGTATCAGGAAATACTCCATTGTCTTGATTCATGATATTTACTCAGCAAAGTTCTGTTCGACAACCACTACCGTGCTGTTGTGGTGTGTAGTTATATCAGTAATTCTATCTCCCAATCTGATATGCTAAAAATTTTTATGATGGTTAGGATATTGGTCGTTGCAATAAATAGTAATGCTGGAAAGGATATTAATCAACAGTTATCCGAGTGTTTCTTCAAATATACTGGTTGACAAATCCTTGGTAGATGAACATGTTTAGAATTTTACCTTCTTCAGACACCATCAAATGGTTCTGAATAAATCGATCAGAGTAGAAAAAAGAGATCCAAATATAAAACTGAAATTTTGTGACTGAATCCTTAGGTGAATATTGGTCCAACCAAATATTTTACTATACTTCTGAGAAGTGAAAGTGCTCAATAAAGCTATAATACTGTGAAATATCGATTCACCATTAGTTTAATGTTTTACTTTACTAAATGAGGTACGAACTGCATGACTATATAGAAGCATTTTACATCGACATATTACAAAATGATAAGCTTACACTGAATACATGAATGAGTACCACACATAGAGAATAGTACTAAGCAAATGTTATGACAATTAATGTGGTAGGAGTAAATTCACTGACAATTAAATGAATAACAAAAAGGGTAGCAATCAAAAAGGAAGCGAAAAAAAAGTCAACAATCCCTGTCTATAAAGGTTTATTTATTATCACGTTTTTTTATACAAAAAAAGGTTTTAAACAGTTGAATAATGAAACGCTAATTACAAATAGACTGTAGCTAGAAAAATAAATAATAATAGCGACAAAGTGCGATCCGAAAACTACCTAAACAGTTACAATAAGTGTATATGTGACAAAATATCAGGTAAGTAGAGTGGATGTTTAACACACAATCTTCAGATAATTCAACTTTACACATTTCTAAAAGTGCTTCAAAGACTAGATTCTAAAGAGCAGTCCGATAGAATTCGACGTTGAACAACGAATATCAATCTATATATGAAATAGAAGAAACAATGCAAACTTAGTACCATTTTTCCAAAGAAAAACTGACAAGGACAATCAGCCACCTACCACGAGAAGCTAAGGGTAAAGGATACAGTAGACATTTTATGATTCAACAAATTTCTAAATATGATTCAAAATATAACAACACGAAACGGCCCATCTTTAAATAAAAATTCTAGTGAAATATATTAGACTACTATAATAGGTTCACCTTGCTGCCACAGTACAACAAAACATTTACAGCTCATCTTGAGAATATACACAGTTAAAGCTTTCTATAAAACAACCAATACTATCTGAAATGCTTTATTTAAGGAAAAGACACCGTAAACATTCACACAAAAATGTATCTACTGATTAGGTTGCTTTGATTGAGATCGGTTTAATATTGAACAACCTTCTCAAGAAACTTATGCCATGGAACACCCGACCTACACAAAAGGCTCTCTTGATAATTTTGTAGAGCTGAAAAATCTACAAATTAAATCAACATTAGTAGTACATGCTGTTTCCAATAACCACCAAAACGACATTAAAAATATCACAATAATTCAGAAAGGTATCTCCAATTAAAGATGTGTGTACCCAGAGTGTTGCATACAATACTAAATCCCCCTCCCCTCAATAGAAAAGGTCTGATATTCATCGGACTGTTTATCTACACTTGAATCACCATTTCTCACACAATCCTTCATACTACAAATTTTTCATACCAACGGTACATGTACAAATGCAGACAGTAATATCTCACAGAGAATCATGTTGACTGAAAAATTACTATGATGGGATCTATGTTGATTTCGATTGAATTTAAAATGTCTACCCTGTTCCTTTTTTATGATTTAAACTTGTGTAAATTTGGATGGATTATTTATTCATTTACTCTGAAGAAGTGGATTACAGTACGTCACGAAAAGTCAAAGATTTAAACATCCAATTACTGATATATAACAATGTATTACGATTATGTTAGCAACGCTCTACCCAATGTTCAATTTATTTGAAATTATGAGGTCCAACTCTGGCAGCGATACTCAAAAACTTACATTATCCTACGCACGTGCATCGTATATTGACTCTGGAACGTTCACAACTATACCATCCATGTCCTCATTGACTTTGACCTGACAACCTAATCGTGATCTGAAGAAAAATCCAAATATTTAAGAAGTTAGCAAGTGATTTATTTTAACACATAGATATCGGTACAAGAAAGCCAAATACATATGCGCCACACAGATCTCGATTGATTTGTGTGAGTGCTGTGATACTGCCCGGGTGCCCAAACCGAAGCAGGTGGTTTTCTTAGGAGGCCACACCCCGAGCCTTTGACCTGAACGTCTGACCCACAAGGCAGTGCAGCATCGTGAGGAGATGCAGTCCCATGGTAGCCGGTGACCAAGAAATTGGTTCATACGCCATTTGTTCTTTCAGGATACTGGAGCCAGTCTATGTGCAACATTGGTTTGGGATCCCGTTAAAGCGCCGGACATTCGCTTTTCGTCCTCTCATTTTCGTAAACAACACCCCCGCCACGTGAAGGCAGTGAGTAGGACTTCCCTGGCAGGGGCTATGTACGCGTGGCCATGTGAGAGCATTTCGAGAAGGAGAGCGGACTCTCCCCATTCTCGGCCGTACCAGAGCATTTGAGGGCTTTAAAAGTGCCAACAGCACGAGGCCTCGCCGAGACATGACACTCGACAAATTTAGCAAAGTTCGAATTTATGACACTGTATTTGAATGCCCACATGTTTCACAGTTCTTCAATCACTCCCCAAAGTAAGTAATCATAACCTACATTTCATTTTTTCAACCCATATTTAAAAATTAATACAGTCTAGCAACTGGATGGCTGATAATACACAAGTAAGTTGAACTGATATTTAAACTATTCTGCCAGACAATATTTGTAGTACAATCAGTCCGTCAAAATGTAGGGCTAGGCACATATATGCATCAGTCCAAGTTGCCATACTGCACTAGCACAGCAAGATGAACATCGGATTCATAGGAGTGGTTAAGTTAATGGTGGTAATATATAAAAGAAAGATTGCATATAATGACATAGTACAGGAAGAAAGGATTAGTACGTAGAAAGAAAGATATGAAGCGATTTTAATCTCTTAGTTTAAGTGAAGACAGAGTGTATAAACCTACGCCATTGTGATCGATTCTGAGCCATGTCACTCAGAGCCTCCAACCATTGGTTATGATAGTCATGCGGACACCAACCAAGTAGTATGAATCTGCCGACATGGCTCAGACCCGAGGTTAGAGACTCTGTGGACTGGTGCCATGTTTTGGTTTGGCCTCCTTTAACTTTCTTCCATCAATCCCTAACACCGTTAGCATTGTACGTCGTGGTAGTCGGTGTTCAGGCATACGCAACACATGACCAAACTATCTCAGTCGATGAATGTTCTCAACCTTATAAACTGATTTACCATCAATTCCTAATACCGTGCATCTAACCTTACTATTACTTACCTGGTGATCCCAGTAGAAGCAAGTAATATTTTAAGACATCTGTGATCAAATATTAGTAGCATATTTATTTATTTAAACACAAATATTGGTACAAGGAAGCACCAGATACCTATGCGCCACACAAATCTCATTTGATTTGTGTGGGGGCTGAGATGTTGCTCGGGTGCCCAAACTGAAGCATGCATTAGTAGCATACGAGTATCTTCTACCCTCAATGGCTACGTTTCGCAGCCATAAATACAGAACGAATTGTTGCGCAGTATACTTATCCCACAACTGATAAAGGTATATCTCGCCTTAGCCATAGGTGACATAAGTTGGTAGACGCCGAACGGGGTTTTTCAATTCGTGTAAAGATTTCGTCCGACACCAACACATCAAGGTTGTTCAGACTTCCAAAATAAGTGTCGTCGACGCGTTCGACCACCTCACCCACTATCCTTAGTTCAGGTGTTGACACAGGTCAGTTGTGAGGTAACAACTTACATTTAGAAGGGGAGAAACACATTCCAAACATCCTAGCATTATTTCTGTGTTACCAAACAAGACTACATCTGTGTATTCAAAGTCGATAAGTGGATGGCTCGGTAGATGGTCAATACCCAAAAATTCAGTCGACGAGAACGCAATTCCAAGCAGTAGGTCTATGAAGAAGCTAAAGAGAGATGGATATAGTGGACAGCCTTTCCGGACACCACTAGAGGTTACAAAATCAGATGACATTTCGCTATAATATTTGACTTGACTGGTAGTGTTCGAGAAAAGAGCCATCACAGCACAATAGTACATCCAAATAGAAACTTTTCCCTAAACAGGACCAACAGATCAAACAGACGCTGTGATTTAAACTTATTGTTTCTAAAAAATCCGTAATATTCGAACGCAGTATTAAGCTTGACATAAACTGACATGTCCCACGAAGCTAATTAGGAATAATGTCACTATGCAGGAACACTAATCTAATACCGAAAAATTGTACTGAGATAACTTGAAATTGTATACTCAATATTCTTTTCGGATATATATTAAGTTAACATCGGCAAAACTATAATTTATAGACGAACCAATCAGATATACACAGGTCTTGGATGTTGGCGCAAAATTCATTCATCCATTTGACTAAACGGTGTTTTAGCATTATAGCTGATGTAAGTTTGTGATGAAGACCCTAAATCTAATTCCTACCACTAACCATCAACTGTAGATTCTAATTATATTTCCTCACACTGGTTTATATCTCTCTCTTAGTCCTGGTTATTAGGTGGACATCCTTAAGGTCACTTTAGCGTTGCCCAAAGGTCGCTCATATATTAGTCTCACATCAACATTTGATTATCATGAGCATATTTTGGGTAAGGCAAAAAATTATATTTATGAACCTTGCAATTCTACTTGTGCCATAACAATGGGAAACCTACGTGTCGGTCAAGCCATAGGCTAAATCCAGCATATCCTGTTCTTCTTCCGTTAATGGATCACGTAAATTATCAAAATCTTCCTTGGCAAAGATGAGGTGGCAGGTTGAGCATGCTAGTGTACCTTCACAAGCGCCTAGATGCGTAATTATATATGCGAAGCAACATACCGAACCCATCAATATCAACGTCATTATCTAACACAACGTCCAATAAATTGTCGCCAATTTTCGCGTATACGGTCTTATTACGTCCGTTCTTCCAAGCGAATGTGATATTCACGCTTTATCTTAATCACAATGCGAATGAAAAAACTAAGTACCATTTCTTTGGCTGACCACTAACGGACCGTGATAATAACATAACGGACCGAGTCCTAAACGAACATCGTGCTAACCGTAGTAACGACAACATTGTATTGCCCGGGACTAGAGTCTCACTATTGAAACAGAAACCTATTTGTGTATCTTATATCTTGTGCATCTTGCATCCATTATTATTCTATACATAGAGTTCGAATCAACTCTTAGCCTGCGTAAGGACAGAGTGAAGAGGTCTAGCTTTTGAACTTGCTCTGTTTTTGTTAAACTCGAAGTTCTGGAATAACACGGGTGGCAATATTCCGCACTTTTTCCAAGATGTCTGAGTCACCGCTCAGACAGGATCTTGGAGTTTGGAAGCAGTTTTCAAGTTTGGACCTCATTAAGATCGTGTCAACTCTAGTAAACATATTAGAATCTAACTTGGTAAGTGTCCTTCTTAAAGCCTATATGGTTATAAAACCTTTGGTTTTGACCTCCAAGCAGTGGACTGTTGTCTTAAGATAATGCCTGATAATCACCTCAAGCTTTTTGCAAGGCCAAACCGCGGGCACAAACTCTCCCACTATGCTGTGTTTATCTACAGATATCTCCAAAATGAATGTAAACCGAGTTAATCGGGCTGATAGCATCAGCCATTTTGTAGACGGGCTAGCCGGAATATCTAAATCCACCTTAAGCGCACATGCATCTGCATCTCTTGTTATTTCTCGCCAGATTTTAACACCACTAGTGTATAGTTGCATGGAAGTCAGTTATATTTAAAAGTTCATTTACATACAGAAAAATGGCGAAGAACCTAGAACAGAGCCTTGTGGTCCTCCATTAAGTACTAGTTTTCAGAGAGAGCATTTGAAATATATTTCTTCCTTCCGTCTGCAGTCTACCAAGAAATTTCTAGTCCACTTTACGAGACGCCTGGCAGCTTCTAGATTTTACAACTATAAGAACAATCTTTTTCTCAGTACCTTATCAAATAATTTGCCGAAGTCAACTTAGACAACATCGACCAATTTTCCACTAACTAGAAATCATGTCCACTTCGCTATTGTTATATGGGGCTTGTTGTGCGGATTATTCCTTTCTTGAAGCCATATTGTTCTCTGTCTCACAAGTCGATCGTTTCGACAAATGTGATTATGACCCTCTTGATTATTCCTTCCAGTATTTTAAGTTCAACGCTAAAGAGCTGACAAGTCCACAGTTTGATGGAAGTTTTCTTGCTTCTGTCTAATGTATTGGAGTGATGATCGCATTTTCGTAGCTCTTAGGTAACTCACTTTGATCAACTGACATATTAAATATCGTGGTCAGAGGCTCAGCAGTATATTGTGAAATTAATCTCAGGTCTTTAGACTGTGGTTCATAAGGCCCTGTTTATTTTTCGGAGTCCAAAGCGTTAAAGACTTTGCGAATTCGTCTCTATCAAGGCCGCAGTGAGTAGTCGGTTTGTAGTTGGGTCTAGTTCTTTGTTAAAAAGAGGATTCTGAGTGAATACTGTCCCGAAATAGTTTCTATGGGGTCTTCTCTGTCTTGATCTTCCTCTGTCACTTGAGATACACGCTTTTCAGTAATTGAGTTGGGAATCTATTGGTGCCTGTTGTTTTGTAATTTGTATACAATAACAGTCTCTTCGGCCGTTTGAATATATATTGGAGTAACCGCTTTTCAGATTTTGGCTGAGCTGCCCGTGATGTACTTATACTTCTGTTTTAGGTGTGTCAAGGTTCATGGCAACGTACCGAATGTGTTTTCTTTTGTCTTAAAAAACGTCAAATATTCCGGTTTATTCAAGAATGGTCATGCTTGTTCTTCCTCGGCACTGTATAAATAGTTGAGTTCATTGATTGTGTAACTACTGGAAATGAGTCCGTACCTCCTATACTGATGCTTTGAAGTCGATTTTTCAGTTTTGAGTCAATGTGGCAGAGTAGATCGCTTACATGTCTGTCTTCCATAAATTAAGTCGGGCTGGCGCAACCGCTTGACAAACCACTGCATCCATGAATTTGAATAAGACGACAGAATGATCGGGTCTCCCAACGGATAAGAGGGACGTAATTAAACTAGCATCATCACACAATGTGAGGACTAATTTCAAGAGAGAAGATTTTTGTATGTTATACCTAATGGGATCTCTAACGTACTGTAATAGAGCTAGGACGACTTTGATTTCTGACAATTTGTGATCGGACGATGTTTTTGATGATCCCACTTCTAACACCTTCCTAATTTACAAGGAGTGCAATAAAACATACATTATCAAAGTTTTACGCCTGTTTGACCAGAGTATAGGTTCTCACTTGGTGACCTGGTAGAATAACGGTCTACTTAATTCTTAGTACCGCTCTAATAATAGACCTGATCCTAAAATTGTAGACTTGTCATGATGTAGCTTCCTAACCTATATGATCCTATGTGGAAGTCACATCACCACCTATCCTGACTCATTGTATTATAACAGTCGTCAATATATAATCAAGAACACATTTAGCTGAAGATTTAACAGTATATTTAATATGAATAAAAGGTATAGGCTACAAAAGAATGATCACGCCCACAAGACCGAGCCTTGCCATTCGATGAATTTGAATTAGTTGAATTTATTCCTCCCGACTTTTGTGTTTTCCTCACGTTAAATGTTGAATATCTTTTTTCTCAGTCGTCTCGTGTTCATCTACGAGGATTTAGTTGTTGCGACTCACAGAACACTCACTATAGCTGTTTTGGTGGTATTCCGATAACAAGTATTACCACCCACGATGTCAAATTAAATCTCTTCTTCATCCATTGGCTTATAAGCGGTATTTCATAATCTTTGGAATCCGCCCTTTCGTATTCAATGATTTCACCTCACAACCTATGCAACAAGGAAAATATTTTAGCTATTACGAGAACCTTCAATAACTTACGCCAGAAGCTTTCCATTATTCGCTACTTAACTATGTGGAACAGACTAACAGCGAGACTCCGTTGCAGAGGAACTACTTCCCGGCTAAGAAGTCTCCTTGATAATGTTCATGGCATGTTGTCCTGACTCACGGAAATGACGGTTTGATATCAGTTTCGTGCTCAGTGGTACTAATGAGAACTATTCTGAGTGCTGTTCCGTGATCATAACAGATAACTATATTTTTCAACATGTTTTGACGTCAGTTAATGATTGAGATCTCAAGCAATATTCCGTTTGTCATATCCACTGAACAATGTCTATAGCTTGGACATTAAATGACCATTGGTTCTCCAAGGTCAGATAAACAGCTGTGGGGTCAGACCAATGGTACAACCGACCTAATGCAAAATCAAACAGTATAGCTATGGGCAATTGCCTGAGATGCAGAAATATCGATTCTTCAGTTGATGTTGGAAATAGTGACGCACAATTACGACTAGAAAGTGAGAGACGACGTAGTCGTTTGCCCCCCTATTTTGTAAGTTCATTGTCTTATAAATAATAATGTCTTTGTTGTCTACAATAAGCAATCAGAATGCAGTTATTTGTAGTTGTCATTTTTAATGAAAATGAATTTTGAAATTAGCCTTCAAAAATGTTCGCTCCCGGTCACACCATTGTAATAGTACGTAAGTGCACAAATACTATCTTAAGTGGAATTAGATTCCGGATGACGTTTATGCTGCATAAAATATTATATCAAAGATCCTACAAGTTGAATCGGTGATAAGAGGAACTGACCAGATGTCCAATTTATTCGTGTATCACATTGAGCTGTTTTTATATTGGGAAATATTAGGGCTGAAATAGTCTTCAGTTGTAAGGAGTTTTGAAGTTATTTTCGGATTGTCTTTGTTCTAAACTAATTATTTGTTACTTATTCTTTATTCGTTTTCTAGCGTGCTGTTGTATACACTATGTATTTATCAGTGATAATGATCCCAGGTGTTTCTTACAGTTCCTTAAAGTGCTAAAATTCATTGTACTGTCTTTACAGTCCAAGAACATCGGTCTTATTTAAATTTTTTTTTCTGTGTCTACTTGCTGAAGTAAGACATATTACTAATATTGATAAGTCCTCCACCCTTCATTTGAAGAACCTCTTCTGTGAAGTTGAACTAGTTGGCAGTTCTCTTTCTTTTTGATTCATGTCTGTTTTCTTACATAGCCAAAAGTTTGTATGAATGAAAACTCGTTTGTGTTGCATGTATGACACTCGAATATTCTGACTCAACGCTTCCACTGTCCTACTTAAGTAATACAGATCCAAAATCCAGTGTCCTGCTGTCAGTTCAGGAATTTAAGTGTCATCTTCGGAGCTCACAATCCATCTGTCTCAGAGCTTCTTACACAACTGTGTTGTTAACTGTTTAATGTCAATAAAATTACGGGTTATCTCTTAGTTTATTCGGACGCAATTTGCTATATGTTCGCTAAAAATCTATTAGTGTCTTTTCGAGGTATCCAATCAGTGCTGCATTCTCCTTTTAGTATTATAGTCTGGGCTAGTAACATAGAAAGCTCTTAGGTGCCATATCTTTCAATTATTCATTTTTCACTATAAACTTATAGATTCAAACAAATGCTTAGATGTGACAGTTTAGCCGAGGACTAATTATTCACTCATAGAATAGTAAGAATAAATACATGATATGGATGTTTTTGTTTGGTGACATATTATACCTAGAGCTTCCACTAAAAATAGTAGTGCGTGTCATTTCATTGTAAATCGGAGCGAAAAGAATATTTTCCATAAGTAAATAGTTCATCATGTTTTGGGGTCCGAGAGATGGTGTAACAGTGGCTAGAAACGTTATCAGATATGGCTCAGAAAAAAACCAGTGGCGATCGTGCTGTAACCTTCTTTTACTTTCTTCATAAAAAGTGGTTGCTCCTTCCTTAACTGAAAAATTTCTTCTGATTGTACCTTTCCGTCTCCTCCATCATTGTTCTCTCTCTTTCTTTCTTTTTTATAATTCCCCACGTTCATTACTTTTTGTTTCTCCTTCTCCTCAAATTATCATTGTTTTGTGTGGCGCATATATATTTGGTGCCCCCTTGTACCAATATTTATGTGTTCAAATAAATAAATAAATAAATAATAATTCCACTAAAAATACCATAAGATTAAATCGGCCAAGTTGTTTAGGACATGTACTGCGTGCGCTGCATCACGGCTGTAGAAAATTGTGTGGGTTGACAGACTAATGAAGAACAAATTTAAGCATAGGAGGGACTGTTTTTTGTCTTAACCACTGGTAAAACCACTGATTATTCTTATAAGTGTTATAGAAACCTATTAATCAGTTTAGGTCAATAACTGGATATTTCAAACAAAGTCTTCGTTTATTTCCATTGATATACCACCTTATTTACTTTCGTTCCGTACCCGGTTTGGTATTTTAACTACTCAGGTTTTTTCTGGTGTCATAGTATTTCTCTCTACACTGAAATTCCCGAATATTGATCGTGATTATTGCTTTCTACAATTATCTTATTACGAATCTGAGTAAACAGTGTCATTTTACATAATTATTTTCTGTGGTTGTTAATAACGTAGTGTTTCTCTTTTCCATCTGATCTATTTACTAAAAAATGGAATCTTTGTGTCAACTGACTATTGTCTTTGACCCAAGATTTCTTCAAACCTTGGTAAACCAATGTCTGAGGAAACCTCTAAAAAAATACAAGCCTGCTTGACTTTTCCGACTTACATCACAAACGGCCTAGGTCTTTAATCTGTTGGTCACATGCAAAATATATTGTATACCATTTCACCCTACAGTACTCTACAAGGTCCACAAGTGCAGCGAATATACTTATATTGTATGTATTCGGTTATAGGTGCCTCGACAAATTCATTGCATGTATCGAAACCGCGAAAGAGTATTGTTGAAATCGAGCATAGTAGAAATAGAAAATCAAATAATTAAGCTGGCAACGTTCGTCGACTCTGCTGGCTGGACATACGGTTCTGATTAGCGTGGGAGTAAGTTGGAAATCAGGTAGATTTAGTCAAACGATATTATGGTACTATTTTACTTAGCCATCAATTATGAACCTAGCAATGCTAAGTGATTTCGAATATTTTAAGGTCTAAGAGAAATCGTAATCAGTGATTTATGTTAAGCGCCATATATGCATACATATTTATACTTGATCACCATCAGAATGTCAAGCCTAGTATTATCCTACACTCTTCATTCATTAGTTTCATTTCATTAAATCCTTTTGACCTGTACTTTCGAATGTTTAGTTTTACACTACTGTTGATATTATTACTATTAAAACTCTCTTTCGGGCTCGTTAATTTTTCCCATCATCTTGGTGTAGTTTTTAACAACATGCATTGATACACGTGTGCCGGATCTAACGTTATTCACAACCGACTTGTGTTTACGGGATTATGAAGCTTTACTTTAGTTATGGGATAAAACTTTATTTTGTTGCGCTTACTACTATGGATAGTTTACATGTTGAATATTACAATTTATCATTACTTGCGTACTTATTCATAATTTGTTTTAAAAAATATGTTACAAAGCGTAATATGTATAGAAAAAAATCATTTTGTAAATATTTGCCATGTATGTATTAGGAGAATGATCCAATTATGCATCCTACTCCTGGTGTCTCACGACCTATGTCCCAGTTAACTGAAGAGGAACAAGTGAGAATCGCTACACGTATGGGCTTAATTTCCACACTACCATTGTTTAAATTCGATGAATCGAAGAGAGAGAAACTATTTGAGTAAGTCAGTTGATGTGTGTTTTTTTATGTATAAAGGTTATTTTCGTATGAAAATGTAACATTATCCAACTTTGTGTTAGTTTAGTTTTGTTTCATTAATAAGTTTTTTTTACTGATCTGTTACACGTTCAAATTCTCATTCATAATCCATATAGGATATGTCTTCGTAATAGACCATCTTATTCCGTGATATATTATCTACTAGCTTAAAAAATTGTTTTCTAATTCAGTCAACTACTAAATATGACAAAATATATAATATTTACAGTACTTACTATTTCCAGATTAATTCATCAGTAAAATAATAGACATAACTGATTGAAGCACTTAGTCTTCAACAATTAAGTTGATGGTTTGAACCCCACATTCATTGTCTAAAGTATTGTTCAAAGCTGGTTACTTAAATTTGTCCTCGATAATTGGTTGACATTGATTTTAATTATTTTCTACCATAGTTATCCGTCACTATTTATCTTTTTGTGTAAATAAGTAAGCTTTTTACCACATCATCTCTTGGTGTACAATTACGATAGTAGTACATAAAGGTAATCACAAGTTTATGAAGTCTTCGGTTTATTGTAGGTAATAGCAAACTGAACGCTAGAATTCCATGTTTTTCAGATATATGACGGTATATTTTTCATACATTAATTATTATAACACAAATATATTTACTATCTTCTAAATATTGAATACTATTATGTAGTGATTGTTCTGTGGTTGAGGCGTTCAGTCTTTAGATACTAAAGCCCACATTCAAACTTCTCTTCTTTTCGATTTAGATAACCGAGTAGTATCATCAATTTTCACACTTAGAGTGTAATTTATATCCAGTGGTCTTCAGTGATATTAGAGGTATGAGGGCGGTTATTGATTCCCGGTGTCCACTCTGTGGAAGGGTTCTTCTGGAGGTACCTGAAAAGGAAATTGGATTAGAGGTGATCTTAGTGACCTGAGAGCGTGACCTCAGTACCCAAGGGACAACTGCTTGAGGTCAGTCACACATGACCCTTTTGTGAGTAATTTTCTTATTAGCTCCGTACTTGTTGAGACCTTACCGCCGGAGACGGATATCCGTGGGATAAGGCGGGGTGTGCATTTTTAGGGTCGACCTTTTCTAACCCCATCCCTCCTTATGGAAAGGCAGCATCGCTGTCATGCTGGTTGTCTGAAGGAAATATCTTACTGCTGTCACACCTGTACAGTCAGCAGTACGACTTCGCCTTCGGACCTTGGATTTGTTGTTTTAGCCTTACTGCTCTTCAACCGACCTGTCTAGCATGGTAGGACTTTGAGGAACGACTGTTCCAGCCAGTATAGCTCTATTGGTTCATCACGATAGGCAAGCCCGACCACCATGTCAAGGTAGCGACAACGGTCGGGATATATATGGATGGTCCTACGTTGTAGCTGACTGACTGACTGATTTATATCTAAGATCCCTAGTGAATGAGTTAATCATTATAAATTAATATTGTCTTTTTGTTCTTGTCACTGAAAACAATAATCAATCTCTATTCCGTCAGTTATTTTGTCGTTTCCTCTTCTTGAATTTTTAATTTTTATATTACTGCTTTATGTTCGGTAAAAAAAGACAAATTGTTTTTATAATTGTTTGAAATAAATAAGATTCGATACAGGATAAGTTATTAAGCAAACTGTTGTGGCCACACTTCCACAATATATGGAGAGTCAACTTCTGAAATGCTCTTCGTAAACAAGACTAATGTATATTCATTATATATTGTTACTGTTTTTGATATATATACGACTAGCTTTTGCCAACTCGCGTCATTTATGGCGTAGGCGGGATATCCGTCTGCCAACCAAAGGACGGGTTTACCGCGTAGAAGTTCGTTCCGTCCTACTCTATGTCAGTGAAACATAGCCAGTAAGAGTAGAGGATATTCGTAGGTTACTAGTATTTGATCATCAGTGTCTTCGAAACATTGCTCGTATATCCTGGGACCACCAAGTAAGTAATGCAGTTTTTAGGAAACGGGTACTAGGTAAGGATGGCAAATCAATTGATGAAGTAGTGGTAGTTCATCAGTTGAGATGGCTGGGACATGTGTTGCGCATGCCTGACCACCGACTGCCTTGACGCGCGATGTTTTATGGTGTAGGAGTATGTTGGAAGAAAGGTAGGAGCGGCCAGACCAAAACATGGCGGAAATCCATGAAGTCACTGACAAGTGGACTGAGCCGTGTTGATAGGTGTAGACTACTTGATTGGGGACCGCGAGATGATAGCAACCGATGATTAGAGACCTTGAATGACATGGCTCAAAATCGTTTGCAATGGTGCAGGTGCATCCACTCTGTGTTCTCTCAAACTCTAATCTTCTGAAATCTCCCTGTCCTTTATTTCCTTTCGCAATTTATTCCACTGGACTATACTCCTTTAATAACATCATCAAACCTTAATGTTCCCTATCTCTACTTATACTTTCAGTACCTCTGCCACTATGGGATTTGAATTGACAATTGTATCTGTGTGGTAATTTGGTATGATAACTCGAATTGATGTATGTACGTACGTACGTACGAAGTTCTAAGTTATTGTTGACTGATTGAGTGACTGACTGTTTAATACGTACTCTAATAGTTTCGGCACTCATTATGATTTAAGAATTTGTTTTGTCTATCATCGTTTGAAATCTTAATGCGGTTTTTTCTTCTTTATACAGATATATATATATATATATAGTTTCTCTTGAGATGTCTTCTATTTTCTTTTAGCTTAAAAGCAATAGTGGTAATTATTTTAAAACTAAGTTACCTATCATTTTATATCATATTGATGAAGGTTCATAGAATAAATGATAATCATCGGTATGAAAGAATCATATGGTCTTGAAGTGGAGAATTTTTATCCCTTTTTTTTGTTACCATATGTAAAAGTTCCCGAAGAAAATCAATGGAAATAAAAATTTCTATTCCATTTTAGTTACATGATAACAATCGTAAAATTGTATAGTTCAATAGTGTAAATTGAGTAAAGTTTAAAATGAATCCCTATAGATTGTATTATTGAGTTTAGCGCTCACACACACTCGCGCACACACACACACACACTGTGTATTATGTCACATTATCGTATTATAGTCTCCGGATGGTTATGGTGTTACATATTGTTATGAATTTTAGTGATTCTCTGGATTCTGTTCGTGTAAAATGATCAATAAGTTGATCGTTTTGTTTTGTTTTTCACATGTAAAGCGGTTTAATTCGTATGAAGAAATGATTAATTTTAAGTATTTTTATCAGATGTCTCGTATTCTCACTGCAGGTTTTATAAATAGACCTAAGTTATATATATATATATATATATATATATATATATATATATATATATAGCAATGATGCTTGAAAAACAGGCGGTTATGTGCTTGAAAGGTGACTAGTCACCGGTATGATACACTGGTATCTATGATCAAGAGAAAACATACAATATAGTACAATTTCAGATAAAATATGTTAGTTGATCACTCTTGATGGATTTTGTTAGAAATATGTATTAATACAATCATAAAGATCACCACAGGAAACAAATCTGTAAAAATACAAAAACTAACATAAGTGTTAAATAACCATATTGATCAACTCATCACATATAGTTGTATGTCGTTTCAACTAATTACACTTTAATAATGGGTGTATATATATATATATATATATATATATATATATATATATATATATATATATATATATATATATATATATATATCATTTTATGCATTTTTGCCGAAGTTACTACACCACAACGACACAACAAGATGAACTTATAAGGTTATGGCTAGCCAAACCGAACGTGGTATCAGTCCATAAAGTCACTAACTTCTCGTTTGAGCCACATTAATAATTGCAGACTACTTGCTTGGGTCCGTATGACTTTTATAACCAATGCTTGGAGACTCTGGGAGACACATGGCTCAGAATTGATCACATTGATGTAGTTGTATACACTCTCTGTATTTCCTTAAACCTTGAGATTAAAATCGCTTTATACCTTTATTTCAATGAACTAACTCTTTCCTACTATATCATATCCTTACATATTACTATCATTAAAGTATCTGATTCCATTAATTTGGTAATTATCTTGTTGTACTAATGAGATATGGCAACTTGAACCGATACATATATGTGTCTGGTCCTAGGTTGTAGCTAACTGACTGGATGAACCTTTGGATACCGGCTCAGTGGTCTAGTGGTTAAGCGTTCGGGCGCAAAACTGATAGGTTCTGGTTTCGAATTTTGCAAGACGGGATCGTGGGTAGTCACTGGTGAGGAATCCCGCACTAGGACGAAACGGCCGTTCAGTGCTTCCAGGCTTTTCATGGTGGTCTAGTTTCAACTGACTCATGTTCTCAACCATTGAAATTACTATGATATCCACAAAAGCCCTTTTTCATACAAATAAATAAATAAACATTATTTTATGCTATTTAAAATTTCTAGATAATCTAATCAATAGCATTTAAGATGTTTCGAATGATTGATGGTACATAACATAGAATGATGGTCAGAGGTAGTCAACATAGTGCACGCAATGTCAAGTCACTTAGACTAGTGGCCACATTGCAACTTGGTCGAAAGCATTCGATGTGCATTAAGAAGGACTTGACACACATGACATTGATTACCACTCAGTGATCAATCAATTGTGGGTACATGACTTAATTCATCAAAAGAGAAAAAAACACACACTTTAAAACACTTAAATAGAGTGGACTTAAAATCAATCAATCACTTACTCAATAGAATTCATTGTTTAATATGATAGTAATTGAAGTTGATGACTTCAGTGAAGTTTCACTCACTCAACTGCATGCTTCAGTCACGAAGATTTCATTATTCTTTTAAATAATTATATTGTCAGCACGAACTTCTGCTAGAATACACTAAAAATCTTATCAACTGACTGTTTGTTTGTTTTTTCCGACTAACTCTACATCACTCCGAGTGGTATGTTCAAACAGTAGCTGTAAACT